GCACCTCTTCCCCTCTACATCTGACTACATTGAACTGTGAGTTGTTTCTCTAGCTGTGCTCTCCTGTCTGGGTGTTTGTAATGTTGGCTTTCTATTTAATTCAAGTTCCAAGTTTTGCTGCAGCCGGTACTACATGCACTAAACTGCAGCAGCCTCCCACAGGCTAAATATACGGTAGGTAAGTATATGCATCTTTCTTACATGGGTTGGAAGGGGGGAAGGAACATGTTTCAGGCTTACGTTTTGTCTGGAATTCCACTTATCACTGTTCTGTCCCATAGAGCAACATCGAATGATAATCAAACTGGCAAAACCTAAAGCTCAGATTATTCTCCTTTGGCATTCCAGTGCAAGATCTGAAAAACTGCAGCCACCGATCTAATTTACTTATAAAGGACACAGTTTCTCTTGTACTTTTATAAATATTCCTGACAGGATCCTGCTTAAATACAATAGGTGTGGAATATTCAAATAATCCTGTTTTTCCAGTGGGGATGTGAAAATATTCTGTTTTTGGAAATACCCACTGTCGAGATCTCTGTCTGCTGTTGGCATATAATGCCAGGTAAGAATAGCAGGATGCAGTGCACAGATGGCGAGGACATAAGAAGCAATATGTTTGCTTGCTCCAAGAGCTGCAGGGAATCATCTTGTGCATTCATGAGTCAGATATGGACAGACGGATGTATTATTAATTATTTACTGCTACAAACGGGAAGTTATTATTCTAATTTTAAGGGAATGTTGTGATTTATGGGACTCCTGTGTAAAAATAGACCATGCAAATGACACCCACAAGGATCAAGATAAAACAACGATTAGGAATTCATTACATAACTAAAGCATCATTTATAAAAAAATAAAAAAACGTCATTGAATGGGCTGTGTGTGTGTTGCGTGTAGGAACTGGTTAGACCTTAAAACAGATGTAAGCTCAATCACTAAAAACTCACTCTAAAAGGGATGTTCTGCTTTATATCACTTTCCCACCATCCTCTAACTCTTACAAATGTTTATATTTTTTGGGAAGGAGCGAGTACCTAGTTTTGGTAGGTACCTGCTCCCAAACCCGGTTGTATTGCCTAGGCAATTGCGCCGGAAGTTCAGTACCCCAACCATCCACTCCAATCCCGCAGGCTTCTGGGACACATTGCATGCACAATAGGAATCTGTATGTGCATCCGCAAGGAGCTACAGCTAGCCTCCCACACTAAACATGCCGGAACCAGGGGCCCACAGACTGGTGAAGAACTGGTCTAGTTGAGGACAGCACTGGATCTTTGGACAGGTAAATAAGAATTTGTAGTGGCTGACTTTTAATTTTTTTTTTGTAAAAAGGCTTAAGAACTTCTTTAATTTCAGAAGTAATTTTTAATGTTCTCAAAATGGAACTAAAGTCTCCTCCTATCCTTTTCAGCTAAGGAAGCTGCAATTTTGGCCTCTGTTTGGGCTGCATCTGCCATGGTGCTGCTTATGTGGTTAGTTATTTGATATGCTTACAGTTTAGGTGAGAGCACAAGCCAATGTGACAGCATTCCCAGCATGCTGGAATATTAACTGTTTTTGGAAACCGTTAAATTGACAGGTTTAGTTCCACTTTAAAAACTTTTAATGAAATAATACCTGGTCATCCCAATATGAAGGTCTTTGTTTTGGCACTTCCTGTTATAGGATGACAATGCTCTCTGCCCATTTCCCATTTGTGCTCCTTTTTCACCTTGTTACATGGAATTCCAGTGGAGCCTGAAAGTGGCTGTTTGTAACACAGATTACATGGTCCATTGTTATTTTTAGGAGACCCACACTGAGAAATGATAAGCCCACATTGCTGGAGTGCATGCAGGAAATGGATGCAAATAGGTTGAAGGGGATCAGTAGCACTGTGATGAAAACAGGCATTTTATTACCTGGTTCCCTGCTGCTCTATAGCAGAACTACGGCTACAGGGCTCCACAAAATCATGTATATATACGTGATTTAGCACTTCCGGGTAGGGGGGGCCCGCAGCCCTACCCGTACTGCCATTGGCGGCTACAGATGTTGATCACCAGGTCCCGGCTGGAGATTCCCCGCCAGTACCCGGCGATCGCCGAGGAACAGTGAGAGGGGAGAGGTCTGTGTGTAAACAACATACATCTCTCCCCTATCAGCACCGACATACTGCTTTGTATTGCTCTGCGCGGACCCGGCGATCTCCTTGATCACGTGATGTGGTAAAATCACAGCGGCCTTTTACCACGTGATCAGCTGTGTCCAATGACACAGCAGATCACTGATAAATGCATTTGCCGGTTATTGGCTGCACTTCCCTCACGCTGTCACAGCGTGAGGAAAGTACTACCGATAACCGGCAATTGTCAAAGGACGGATCGCCACCGATCATCAGGGACCTGATTATCAGTGCCCAGCAGTGCCACCCACCAGTGCTGCCCACAAGTGCCCAGTAGTGCCACCCATCCAGTGCCCAGCAGTGCCGCCCATCAGTGCTGCCAGTCGGCGCTGTTTAGTCAGTGCCACCCATTGGTGCCAATCATTGTTGCATATCAGTGCAGTATCATCAGTGCCAGCTCATCAATACTGCCTATCTGTGCCACCTCATCAGTGCTGCTTATCAGTGCAGCCTCATCAACGCACATCAGTGAAGGAGAAAAATTACCTTTTTGCAAAATTTTAGAGTAGAAACAAAGAAAATTATAAAAATTTCATATGTGTACAGTGTTGCATGACCACGCAATTGTCATTCAAAGTGCGATAGCTCTGAAAGCTGAAAATTGGTCTGGGCAGGAAGGGGGTATAAGTGCCCAGTAGGCAAGTGGTTAAAGTGTTTTAACAAATGTCATGCAGGTAGGGTTTACATCTTAATAGATACCCCTGCCTAGTGAAAATACTGATTTACATTTTACATTACAGGCTGAGACATTGCCTGAGGTTCTATGTTCACCATATGATGTCTGTTTTCTCACAATATGGGCCATTTTAGCACTACCATGCAACATTCTGTGCATACACTAGGAACAAGAAGTCACACTGGAGGATTTGAATCCACATAGTAGGGTTTATTTACTAAAGCTAGTTCACTCAGAATTTGGTGCAGCTGCACATGGGAGCCAATTAGCTTCTAACTTCAGCTTTTTCAGTTAAGCTTTAGCAATAAAACCTGTAATCTGATTGGTTTCTATGCAGAAATGCACGAGATTCTGACTGAACCAGCTTTAGTAAATAAACCCCAGTGGGTCTTACTGGTGCAAAGAATTTGCCTAAAAGGCTTTGATTTTGGCAGATATAACAGAAAAAAAGCCAGTTACTCTTCTATTTAATACAATTCTGCTGCATAAGCTGTCCTGGGAGATGCATTGAATTAAGTATATGCATATCAGGTAAACAACATTGTACAAAGGTCTAATTACGATTGCCAGGGGATTGGGTTCTGCTTGTATGGTCAGCCCTTGGACCACAGAAATGTGCAAAACCGCATATTCCTCTGGTACCTGTGGGTAAACTCCTGTTCAAATAACTAGTTAAGTGTAGTTTTGAATATAACTGCGTAGGTTTTTATGGAGGAAGGGGGTTGGTTTGTGCTGTAGCCCATTGCTGCAGGTACCTATAGCATGGTTGGCTGAGGATATTTAAAGCATTGCCTTTAAAAACAGAAATTTGTGAGCAGGAATATTTATTGCAGAAGAGACATTCAGGATCTCTTCTGCAATAAAAGCTTTTTACCTTCCTCCTTGCAAACATTTGTAGGATGGACCCAAATGCTTATTGTACAATTCAGGCACTGGAATTAATTCCATTTTAATTCCACAGGGTTAGGCCACTTTCACACAAACATTCCAGAAAAAAACGGACAAGCGGGCCCAATTGGAAATAGGAAACTCCCTTCTCCTTTATGGAGTGGCGACATCCAATCCACTAAAAACAGATGGATGGGAATCAGTTCCCCTTCGCCCGGAGATCAGATTAGATGGTAGTCGGGTGTAAATGTACAGGCGGTCCATTTAAATCTGACTGCCCATAGAGCGGAATGGGCTGTATCTGCTCTGCATAAGTGGACTCGACACAGACCCCCTGCTGAGCAAGTGGATTACTCCTGGAGCCTGCCCCTTGTGAAAGGGGTCTTTCTTAATCCCGGATGGCCAATCAAGAAGCCAAAGATGCTGAACCCAGAAGACCAATCAAAGATTTTGGTACTGTAAGGAAGCTTGCAGAAATCGCTTGAGGAGACGTGAACATAGTTCTGCTTCAAAAGAGACTAATGTAATGATGTCTGATGAACCAAAAACTGAGTGGGAAGAATGGGAGTTGTATTAAACCCAGTGCCACCAAACTTCAAATTTCAGTGAGTCGGTGATAAAAACAACCAGATTTAAAAATGATTTCTGGGGTGGACAACAAATTCAGTGAAATAAACCTCATATAACCCCCACCAGAATATTACAAAGCTTAAGACACACCTACCATAAAATGAGCATCATACATCCCATTACAACATTCCAGGACAAGACACAGATCCAGCGTCATTAACCTCCCTAGCGGTATGATTATTTCAGATTTTTGGTGCTGAAAGCGGTACCATTATTTTGCATGGAAATATGTAGTTTTTTTATTGTAGGCTGTAATATTTAGGAATAACTCACTGAAATCTGTCCGAACAAGAGTCTATTAAACATCCCGGGTATGATAAAATTTGAAACACAAAATCATAAATTATAATTTAATAAATAATCATAAAAAATAATAATATAATAATAATACATTTAATTCAATAAGGTAATCAAACCAAAAACACTGAAATTTGAAATAGAGCGCCAAGTTCGCACATCGCTGAGCAAAGTCGCAAAATCGTTTTCAGTGTCTGATGACGAATTTCTCCACGAAACATTATCACTCGATTCTGCAAGTGGTTCTTATTTACTATCGCTGTTCTCTAGCTGGTCTAAAACCGCTTTTGACCTAAATGGACACTTTTTGGACGCCATGGACTTTTCTAAGTTTCCAGGCAGAAAGAACAGTCAAAATGCAGACGGGACAGGACAAAGCACTAGGGACAATATGTATGTGAAATGGGTTGAAACAGCAATGTTTTACTATGTAAAATCGTTTTGAAAAAAATGAAATTTTTTTTTAAATTTTCAATTTTCCCGCCGCCGGCGGCGCCCGTACGTCCTGACGTCACAGGGACCGGAACACAGGAGCCGGATGCCAGCATCAGCTGGAGGAGATGGCCGGGGATGCTGCAGGGGACACATCGCGGGAGCGAAGGACAAGGTAAGTGCTGCAGGGACTCCCTATCCAACGCCGCATGGTAAGCCCGAGTGTAGCTTGGGGTTACCGCTTTTGGTACTGACATTTTACCCCGAGCTACACTCGGGAATACCGTTAGGGAGGTTAAACAACATTAACTAGGATTTCCCTAAACTCTGTCTGTTGCATACAGTACTTAAAGCAAACTTTACACTCTCAATCAATGTTGACTATTTTTAATCCTTATTCCTTATGCTGCTAGCATTAGTGCATACACTATATTGCCAAAAGTATTGGTCGCCTGCCTTCACACACACATGAACCTTAATGGCATCCCAGTCCATAGGGTTCAATATTGAGTTGGCCCACCCTTTTCAGCTATAACAGCTTCAACTCTTCTGGGAAGGCTGTCCACAAGGTTTAGGAGTGTGTCTATGGGAATGTTTGACCATTCTTCCAGAAGGGCATTTGTGAGGTCAGGCACTGATGTTGGACGAGAAGGTCTGGCTCGCAGTCTCTGCTCTAATTCATCCCAAAAGTGTTCTATCAGGTTGAGGTCAGGACTCTGTTCAGGCCAGTCAAGTTCCTCCACCCCGAACTCACTAATTCATGTCTTTATGGACCTTGTTTTGTGGAACAGGAAGGGCCATCCCAAACTGTTCCCACAAAGTTAGCAGCATGAAATTGTCCAAAATGTCTTGGTATGCTGATGCCTTAAGAGTTCCCTTCACTGGAACTAAGGGTCCAAGCCCAACCCCTGGAAAACAACATCACACCATAATCCCCCTCCACCAAACTTTACACTTGGCAGTCGAGCAAGTACCGTTTTCCTGGCAACTGCCAAACCCAGACACATCCATCGAATTGCCAGAGAGAGAAGCGTGATTCATCACTCCAGAGAACACGTCTCCACTGCTCTAGAGTCCAGTGGCTGCATGCTTTACACCACTATATCTGACGCTTTGTATTGTACTTGGTCATGTAAGGCTTGGATGCAGCTGCTCGGCCATGGAAACCCATTCCATGAAGCTCTCTACGCATTGTTGTTGTGCTAATCTGAAGGTCACAGGAAGTTTGGAGGTCTTTAGCTATTGACTCTGCAGACAGTTGGCGACTTCTGTGCACTGTGTGCTGCAGCATACGCTGACCCCGCTCTGTCATTTTACGTAGCCTACCACTTCATGGCTGAGTTGCTGTTGTTCCCAGTTGCTTCCACTTTGTTATAATACCACTAACAGCTGAACGTGGAATATTTATCAGCAAGGAAATATCACAGATGGACTTATTGCACAGGCTGCAACTTATCACAGTACCAGGCTTAAATTCACTGAGCTCCTGAGAGCGACCCATTCTTTCACAAATGTTTGTAGAAGCAGTCTGCATTCCTAGGTGCTTGATTTTATACACCTGTGGCCATGAAGGTAATTGGAACACCTGAATCCAATGATTTGGAGGGGTGTCCCAATACGTTTGGCAAATTAGTGTAGATAAACTTTTTTTTTTTTTTTACATTTTCTCAGTTACTTCCTGGTTTCCAAACCTAGGCAAATGATGTCATACATCCCAGGAGTCTTCAGAAGGGGAGGAGGGTTTTTTTCAGCTAAGCACACCCTTCTGCCTGTATGCCTGAGCTAAGAGCAGATGGATTCCAGGAAGTAAATGCTACATGAATCATCTACCCTTGCTCAAGATGGCCACAGCCAGAAATGCTAGGGGGGTGTTTTTTCAAAGTTGTTTCTCAGCAAAATAAAGCATGGAGACATGAATGGATGGATGTGGGAGTTTGCTTTGAATATGAAAAAAATAATTAAACAGTGTTTTTGGATGGATGGGTGAGTCCCTGTGTGCCAGGATGACTGACTCCTGTCAATGAAGATGGCCAAAGATCGGCATCCAATAGAAGATGACATTTTCTCAGTTACTTCCTGGTTTCCAAGCCTAGGCAAATGATGTCATACATCCCAGGAGTCTTCAGAAGGGGAGGAGGGTTTTTTTCAGCTAAGCACACCCTTCTGCCTGTATGCCTGGGCTAAGGGCAGATGGATTCCAGGATGTAAATGCTACATGAATCATCCACCCTTGCTCAAGATGGTCACAGCCAAAAATGCTAGGGGGTGTTTTTCGAAGTGGTTTTCTCAGAAAAATAAAGCATGGAGACATGGATGGATGGGGGAGTTTGCTTTGAATATTAAAAAATATTTAAATAGTGTTTTTGGATGGATGGGTGAGTCCCTGTGTGCCATGATGACTGACTCCTGTCAATGAAGATGGCCAAAGACCGGCACCCAGTAGAAGATAACAGCGTCGGCAAGGGATGGGGACTGTTGAAGAAAATGTAAGTTTTACTGTGCTTTAAGTACTTCGCACTATTAGACCTGTTTATTTTATTGTTGCTCTTTGTTTTTGTAATATATTTTCTTTAAAACACTTTCTTATTGTCTTTTAATTAAAATTATATTTTAAAATCATTTAGCTAAGAGCATAATCATCACCTTCTGGTGACAGCGGTGGGATTGGACACTTGCCCCCGTATTGATGGCAGTGGTGGGATATGTCACAGTCTGTATCACCTGCACACAATCAAAGCACAGCTCCAGCTGAAACTTTAATTTTATGTTGTGTTTTGGATATAATTCAGAAGATGAAATACTTTGGCCATGTTTTTATTGCTGTCCATGTCTCCCACTGGGGAGATTTCAGCTCACTTTCTGTCTCTGTGACAACAGGACAAAAAATGAAAGGAAAGGATGTCATTGGGACTCATAGACATAATAATAACGTGATGTAGGTGCTGATCCTTCCCATTTTTTAGTAAAAAAAAGTGTTTCAGTCCTCTTCCACTGGGGAGATTTTCCATCACTTTCTTTCTTGGCAGGAAGTGGGGGAAATCTTCCCATTCGAGGCACGCAGGACAAGTGAAAACCTATCACAGAATCTATCCTTCCCAACTCTATGACAAACTAAACAATAAAGTAACATAGCAAACACACAAGACATTTTAAAATAAATGTTATTTAATTTGAATTCAACCCCCTGCCCTTGTTCAGACACTGCTTTGAGGCTTTACACTTATTCATTCTTACTACAGTCATAACTTTAAAGTTCAGTGGACTGAGACCTTCTTTTGATCTACAGTATAAAAATATTTCCAATGGGCTTTAGAGACAAATAATAAACTGTAAACAGCACCGTGACAAAACACAAGCAGTATAAAACTGCTATAAACAGCCTATCAGGTTTGATGGAATTGGTCCAACAATATACATCAGAAAGCCGCTGCTACATAAAAACTCTGAAAACATCATTATGTGGCCACTTGGAGGCCAGACATCATATTGATACTTTGCTGAAAACTTTGGTGACAATCTTCTACCCTGCACAAGGGTGACCTTCCTTTTTTTTCTCTTGCTCACATTATTCCTTCAGATTCTTTTGATGGGGATTGTCCTTGAGAACCACTAGGAGGTTCAGTATCTCCTTATTGCTGTAGCAACGTATTCTTTTAGGGTCAGAGACTTAGAACTGATTAGCTGCACTTTTCTCCCTTCTGAAAGGCATCCAAGAATCTGTCTTGATCTCCCGCCAGCGTTTCTGGAACACAGGGAAGCCTCATAAAAGTATCAGAGGGCTCATTATTAAAAAGGATGATCTCTGCGACAGGGAGGTTCATCGGCAAGGCTCGCTGTCTGACTTCTCCTTGCTGCAACTCAGCCGATTTAACCAAGGTCGTCCAAAATGAGAGGTCTTTGAGGTACATTGTTTAGTCAACTGATATATAAAGCTTCTGATGGGGAATTATGATGGCTGTGACCCATAACTTGTTCTTCGACATTTCTTAAATGTGAACAAAAGAAATGGCTGTCATTTTCTAGTGCACACCATGAAGCTTTTTGTGTTTAACCATTATGCAGTATTGAGCATTGAGTAGACCTATTTTTAAGGTGTTAAAGAGGAAAGACAAGCAAAGCATATGAATAGGTTGTGAAGAAAGCTCTTCCCCTTTGTCTGTATTTTTACTGACAATGAAAATTCTAGCAATACAGGGGCTGTGGGGGTCAAATTGGTGGTGCTGTCAAAATTGATTAATGGATTGAAAATCATCAGTATACTAAATTGTACCTCAGGTTTGACTGAGAGCATTGTATGCAGTGCCATTAAATTAGGATAACACCCTAACACCGCGGGTGCAGTTTCAATATGTTTTTGGTGTGTGTTGCTTATATAATAGACATGTGTGATTCGTTTCATTACGAATCAAAATTTGGACGAAATTTTCATTTGGAGATTTCGATGCATCTGAATCTCTAAATCACAATACTGACGAATTTCAACAAATCAGAAATAAATTATAACAAAAGCATGACATTCATTCGTATTTATTCACTTCATTTGGATGACATGATGCAATAGTTTGGTCCTTTTGTTGATGTTTGAAGCACCTGAAATAACCTAACAGCATAACAAATGATCCAAATTGATTCATTTCCATTTTGTTTGTATTTTGCATTTACATTTTTCATTATTATAAAAGATGCTCTACAAATGAAATGGAAACATATTGCAATAAATACTGTAAGGTATAAAAGTGAAATAAAATGATGATTCCTACTTACTGTGTTTGGGTTTCATGGAGGTAGATCCATTACAATCACCGAATCAGAACATAAGGAATGAATCTGAAATTCATCCATTTGTTACTTTCTAATGCACGTAACTCCAGTCAATATCGTCCAATCAACTCATTCCATTTCTATTTGTAATTTGGATCAGCAGGGATTACTCAGAGTGCATAAGTAATCTCCTTAAATAACAGATTAAAACAAATATAGCCAATCTTTTGAAAAAAAATTCTGAAAATAAGAAGCAATTTGGAACAAATATACTAAACGACTTTCGAAAACAAATCATTTTAACATATCGAATCTGAAATGAAACAAATTTTTTTGTCGTGCACATCTCTACTATAGAAATCAGTGGGAGGTGCGTTTTTGAAACAGAGCACAAAAGATGCAGTATGCAGGACTTTTCAAAACGCACTGCATTTGCAGCACACTGATGTGAAGAGTTCCATAGGATTCAAAGGGAAATATTTTTATTGTCTTTTTA